CTTAAGCAGGGGAACTCAGACCCCCATGGCAGGCAGGATGGCTGGATTTAGAAATAGGCTTGCTCAGATGGCCTTGCCAAGAGACAGTGTGGTACTGTGGCCAGGGGCTGGGCTCTGGCACCAGAGAGACCTGGGTCTGGAAGTGCATCATTTGCTTCCTAGCTGTGTGAGCTTGAAAAAGTCACTTTCCCTCTCTGAGCCGCTCTCCTCATTGGTAAAATGAAAGCTGCTGAGAGAATGAAATGAGGTGGCAGGTGCTTGATAGAGCGAGTGACTTTCTTTGGATCCTGGCACTGGGCTAGAAGCTTCCTAAGAGAGGGGATTTGGGGACTGCATTGCAAGACTGGTCCTCTCACTCTTCGTGTTGGCATTGAAGAGGCTCCATCCTCTGAGCCATCTGGGAAGGACCTGCCCCTTTGCCCATCACCTGGACGAGGCAAGAGGCCAGAGGAAGCTTCTTTCCAAACCACAGCGGATGTGGGAGGCCCTGCTTTCTGTCCAAGTTTACCTTTGGGGAAGTGGCTCTCACTGTGGTGTGGTCACTGGGCGGTCTGCGGGCTGGGCTCCTGCACCTGTGGGTCAGGATGCTGGAGATGGAGGTTTCTTCCCAGAGCTGCTGCTCTCTTGGGAGCTCACAGGAAGGACAGAGTATGCCTGGCAAAAGGCTTAAGAAGTCGTTCATTTGGACTGGTTTATTCTAGAGCATTGCCTCACTTCTCTGTTTTTCGAGATTTCACTAAATGATTGCAACAAAAGGGATTTTCTTATCTAGTTTCAACCCCATGACAAGATTCTGGCTGTCTAGACAAAGGGGAGTTTCAGCAGTTCGGCTAGGAGTTTCCTGGGCACAGGGGAGAAGAAGGGGCCAAAGAGAATCCAGGGTCAGTCGGCGGCACTTCCTCCTTGCACTGAGCAGTCCGGCGACATGCGAGCTGGAAAACGGGCAGCATCAGCCTTGCACAGCAAAACCATCCTTTGGACAGGACATCTCTAGCTCTGGCCAGTCATGCCAGATGTACGCCAGACTGAGTCCAGAGGGCTGGGAATGGATCACTTTGTAGTCCCTGCAGCCTCCAGCAGGTGGCTTTTCACACAGTAGGTACAGAAGCAAATAGCTCAACTGAGTTTATGGGCATTTGCTCTACTGCAAGTGAGATGCTTTTCACATTTTTTTGGGAAAATGAATATATGTTAAGTATTTATTTATATATTTTGAGTATTTATTTATTTAAACAATTTTTCAGCTTTATTGAGGTGTAATTGACAAAACTGTAAGCTGTTTAAAGTGTATGACATGATTTGATAGACCTACACATGATGAAAGGATTCCCCCAATCGAGTTAACACATCCAACACCTCACATATTTACTTCTGTTTTTTGAGAATTTACATTTATTCTTAAAACAATTTAAAAAATTAATTTCAGAGAGAGGAAGGGAGAGAGAGAAACACTGAGGTATTGTTCCACTTATTATGCAGCCTTGGTTGACTCTTGCATGTGCGCTGACTGGGGATTGAATGCACAACCTTGGCGTATCAGGAGGACGCTCAACCCACTGAGCAACCCGGCCAGGGCCACATTTATTCTTATCTTGACTACAACCACAGTTCTGAGAGGTGAATGCTATTCATTCCCATTTTATGGGAAAAGAGGCACAGGTTCAATTAACTCCCAAAACCTGGTTAAGAAGAGATGTCTGGCTTTGGCCTGAGAGAAACTCGAAGCACCCCACAGTATTATTTTGAGTGGAGGTTGATTGTCTGCACAGTCAGGACACAGAAGTAGCTTCAAGCATACAACACTGTCCCTGGTCAGGTCCGCGGTTTTATTAGGAAAGTCTTGTGACTGCTGACGTAGAACATCTGCCTGCTGTCTGCTACCCAGTGAACGGTTAACTAAGCAGTAAATTGAACTCTCAGTGGATAACACAGCCCAATTTAGCTGGAGTTTAAGATGAAGCTGATGTGAAGTGGCAGCTCCCTACCATGCCCTGCCTCTTACCAGTCGCTGGGGTTGCAGAAGTCCTCTGTACTAGCCATTCAGTCATTCATGAGAAAAACCCATCTTTCCCCACAGACCTAGAGCTTAGAAGCAAAGTCACATTTTCCATAAATCCAGGGAGCGTAACTTTCCTGAGTCTGACAGCAACCAGTAAGGTGCAGCTTTTGTCCTACTGCCCTCCACGCACGTGGCCTGGGGGCCTGCTTGAGTTGTTTTCAGTTCTCTTCTGAATTTTGAGCTTAAACTCCAGAGGACTGTGTGCTGTGCATTCTTACTGAGGCGGCCAAGAATTCTGAGATGCTACACTTAAGGGCAAAGACCCTGTTCTCTAAAATGCCAGTTCAATGCTTGTTCCTTTTTTCCGAGTGACCTGGCTCCTAGGTGGCAGGGAGCAAATCTCGTCCATCTTTGCACCAGCATGTCACGCTGGGGATGTCGGAGAGCAGTGCTTCCGAATCTTCCTTTAAAAAGCCAGGAACGCAGCCACAAAGCTTATGAGGCCACGCCACGCTGAAGGCGCCTGGTGTGCAAAGCTAAAAGCCAGAGTGCTCATTAGGGTCATTCTCAGTGAGTCAGACATTCTTCCTCGCCGCCTGCCTCACGACACAAGCAGCCTTGGTTTCCTCACTGCTACAACGTAAAAAGTCGCCCCGGGATTTTCCTAGGAGTGAAAACAGGGTCTAGCCAACATGAAACAGCAGGGAAGATGAAATAAGTATGGTGCATCTATACCACAGAGCACTTAGCCGGCGGTTAGAAAGGCTAAGGTAGAAAATACATTCTACACACACACATCCATCACTGGATGAACAAAATGTGACACATACATGCCATGGGGTATTATTCACCTTAAAGAGGAAAGTGTCCGTGTAAGCATGTCCAAACCTGTAGAGAATTTAAAAAAAAATTGAGTCCAACAGAAGAAGCACCTGGAAAGAAGACCTCAGCAGACAGATAAAGGCTTCGGAGAGTAACAGTCTGCAGTTTCTTCTCTGCATCCGATTAAGGAGCAATGTAAGATCACTCAAAGGTGGGAAAGAGCAAGACGGGCATGTTAATAATGGGTGTTTCTCGAGGAGAACCAAGATGGCGGCATAGGTTAACGCCGGAGTTTGCTGCCTTGAACAACCACTTCAAAAATACACTCTTCCGAGGGTGGCCACCCTTTCGAAGGGGTTTGAAAGGGGGCTTTCGAAGGTGTATTCTCAGAGTGCACAGGAGCAATGGTCAGGGCTTGCTTAAGGCAAAGTTACATGCCCGGGGTGATCAGCCCTGTTAGGAATGATCAGACCACCCTGTGAGGTTGCTCTCCATAGAGCCCCTTTCGTCCAGAAGGAATTCTGACACATGCTACAACATGAACGAACCTTGAGAACTTTATGCTAACGAAAACGTGTCACAAAAAGACGATTACTGTAGATTGCAGGTAAGTCGGAAACAGAAAGTAGAAGATGGCTGCCAGGAGCTGGGGGATGGGAATGGGGAGTTATTGTTTAATAGGGACGGTTTCAGTTTTGGGCGGTGGTAATGGTTGCAAAAAAAAAAGACCAAAATTTGGTTTTAAATAATTCTAATACTGAAAGTAGATATTGGGACGCTGTATAATAAGCTAACGTTTACTGAGCACTCATCTGACACATGCTACAACATGAACGAACCTTGAGAACTTTATGCTAACGAAAACGTGTCACAAAAAGACGATTACTGTAGATTGCAGTTGTGTGAGGTAAGTCGGAAACAGAAAGTAGAAGATGGTTGCCAGGAGCTGGGGGATGGGAATGGGGAGTTATTGTTTAATAGGGACGGTTTCAGTTTTGGGCGGTGGTGATGGTTGCACAATAATGTAAGTGTACTTCGCCCCACGGAACCATACACTTAAAATGGCTAAGATGGTAAATTTAGTAAGTGCCAGGAGGTGAGGTAGACACAAGTGATTCCCATTTTACAGATGGGTACATGGAGTAGCAAAGAGAAGGAACTTGCCCAAGGCTGTCCAACTGGTGAATGGCAAAGCTGGGAGGAGTTGGTTTACAATAAAAAAAATGGAAAAATAGAAAAGCTGCTAACAGATTGTATTGTACTGTTTGGTTTTTTTTTTTGTATTGTACTGTTTTTGACGAGAAGTTTATGTATGCCTCACGTGTATTGACATAAAGATCTGGAAGGAAATTAATATATTAACTGTCAACAGGGGATGCGGGATTTGGGCAGTTGGGTGGGGGGGTCCACTTTTTCCTTGACCTATTTGTGCACTGTTTCCAATGAGTGTTACTACTCTTGCAGTGTCAGAATCCCAGCAGCAACTGTGGGAATGCATGCTTTCGGTGAGAGGTCCCTTGAGGCTATTTGTGGGACTAACACAGAGATCTGGGTCACTGCTCCAGGCTGGAGGAATCTCAAACCTTGCCTCAATGAGATGAAAAAGACTTACCAAGCCCAGCCAGTGTTGCTCAGTGGTTGAGCATCAACCCATAAACCAGGAGGTCACCCGTTCAATTCCCGGTCAGGGCACATGCCCAGGTTGCGGGCTCTATCCCCAGTGGCACGGGGGTGGGACTTGGGGGGTGAGGTGGGGGTGGGGCCGGGTGACGCATGTGGGAGGCAGTCGATTAATGTTCTCAGCTATCCCTCTCCCTTTCTCTCTCTCAAATCCATAAAAACATATTAAAAAAAAAGACCAAAATTTGGTTTTAAATAATTCTAATACTGAAAGTAGATATTGGGACGCTGTATAATAAGCTAACGTTTACTGAGCACTCAGTAAGTGCCAGGAGGTGAGGTAGACACAAGTGATTCCCATTTTACAGATGGGTACATGGAGTAGCAAAGAGAAGGAACTTGCCCAAGGCTGTCCAACTGGTGAATGGCAAAGCTGGGAGGAGCTGCATGACACCAGCTTCATGCTTGGACCCACCGTACCCACCCCCCTCCATCCCTAGAGGCTCCTCCTCCTGGCATCTTCACATTCCTCTGCAGCGAGTAAAACGAATAGGCTTGCTTTTTGGTTAATAAAGTAGAATAACATTTATTTTTTTCTTAAAACTTTATTTTACATGCTATAATCATGGAAACTCAAATTAGATATAAATTATGTCCAGCTGAGCTGGTTACAGGTCATGGTTAGCATGAGAAGAGTTAGGCGGAAGCTTTCTTTTCCTTGTAGGTTGCCATCATTTTCTTGATTTCAGCAATAGCTTTCCCTGGATTCAGCCCCTTGAAAAAAGAGAAGAGAATCAATACCAAATGGTAGTGAAACTGAATGGAAGAAGTGATGCCCTTGGGCGGAACCCTCCCCCAGCTGGTGCAGTGTCCAGGCACTGAATGCACACCAGGCTCTCTAAAACTCAGAGGCCGGGCCAGGAACTCTCTCTGGAGTCTGCTCTCTGCCATGCCCTGGAGCAGAGACCATCTGTCACTGTGGCTCTGCGGCCGCCGGCCCCGCATACCTTGGGACAGGTCCTGGTGCAGTTCATGATGGTGTGGCAGCGGTAGAGGGAGAAGGGGTCCTGCAGCTTGGCCAGGCGCTCCTCCGTGAAGTCGTCTCTGGAGTCGATCATCCAGCGATAGGCCTGGGAACCGGGGGCTGATTAGCTGAGCTGTCAACCTACCGGGCCAGAGCGACCTCTGGCTCACCTCACAGCTGCAGGAGCGCGGGACAGGGAACTCTCTCAGCGTCGCCGCCCTGTCTGCACACTCTTTAATTCTTGCCATCTTTCACGGAAAGACTCCCAACTCTTCCTGAACTCCTCTTGACTAGTGATCCCCACAAACCTGTGAACCACAGTGCACCTGGCACCCTGGGGCTTAAGAGTACGCGACCAGGCATCGTCTTCTAATTATTACGTTGCTCATTAGCTTCCTGCCCAGACTATGAATTAGTGACGGCAGGGACTGTGTAAAATGACTCTTTATCTATCTTCATAGCACCTACTCCCTGTCTCTGAGTAAACTGATGACTTCACAGCCCTGTCTAGAGATCATCTTTGCTTCACTTACTGATTCCTTTAATTAGTGTATGCCTCCCAGAAGCCGGAGACCAGCCAGCTGAAAACTGACTCACCTCCCCATCCCCGACCTGCTCTGCAGTGTGACTGGAGGACTTCTATGTTCCCAACAACCCAGGTCACCGGCTCGAGGGCCAACTATATTCATTCGTTGTCAATCTCTCCCATGGCTGGGAATCAACACTGCCACATGGTCACA